GCCATAGCAGGGAGCTAGATCATAAGTGGAGCACCTGGGATTCAAACTGGCAGCGTCATAGGCAGCTTAACCTGCTGCGCCACAATGCCGCCCCCCATCTAGTATCTTTTGAGAACAAATGGATAATTTCCATTTTGTGTAGGAGAAAACGTTGAAGTAGAGTGATCATGTTTCTAGCTGTTAAAAAGATAAACGCAGCCTGCAGGTGTTCTTGTGTAAAACCGCACAGCATGCACACCGGCACCATGTCCAGGCGCCACCTGCTGCCTGCAGGGAACTTCCTGTGCCCCGTCCTCTATCTGCCTCCCTTCCCCAGGAGCCAGGAAGCGCCTCCAAGGGCGGGGACCATGTCCGAATCTTCCCTTTATTCCCAATTCCCAGCAGAGAGCTTTGTCCCTGTGTGGTACTCAAAAACTCAGAGGGAAATTAATTTCAGAGTTTTTAAATTCTGGTAACTTAAAATGTCTGCCCTGGGGCCGGCACTGTGGCAAGGCCGGTTAAGCCGCCACCGTGACGCCAGCAAACCATATGGGCGTTGAGTTGAGTGTTGGCTGCTCCCTGCTATGGCCTGGGAAAGCAGTGGAAGATGATCCAAGTGTTTGGGCCCTGCACCCATGAGGGAGACCCAGAAGAAGCTCCTGGCTCCTGGCTTTGGTCTGGCTCAGCCTTGGCCAATGAAGCCATCTGGGAAGTGAACCAGTGGATGGAATATTTCCTTTCTGTCTCTTCTTCTCTGTAGCTCTGACTTTCAAATAAATAAAGAGAACTTAAAAAAAAAAAAAAAAAGAAATTTTGCCCTATGTTGTTTAAAATGGGCAGAGAAGTGATAATACAAAGCGAAATGCACCATGCTCTAACACTATTCTTTTTCAAATGTGGGAGTTTCTTGAGGAATAGCAGGAGCACCCTGTCAGGCTGTGGACTGTGACACGCTGGCCGCAGTGCCCTTGGGCAAGCATGGACCTTAGAGGGCCATCCAATCACCAGGGAGGGCTTTCAGCTGGCCTCCTAGGCGTGCCTCTGCTTGCCCACCACTACGCTAGATGGATGGAGGACTGGAAGAAACAGCCAGGGGTCGGCCCTCCACACGGCTTCCCACCAAGAGCGCAGGCAGGCAGGGAGAGGAGACGGAGCAATGAAGCAAAAGGGAAGGGGACACAGAAGCAAGCCGGCCAAGCACGGCACCCGCATGCTGCGGGCTCTGGGCTGGGGGCAGAGCTACGTGGGCGGGGGGAGGTCCACTTGCAGCGGCTCCGGGCGGTGCGGGGAGGGGCAGGGAGCCTGGGCTCTGCCAAGGCAGGGAAGGAGACAGGAGGAAGCTCGGGCTCACTGGAAGTGGGGTACGTCTCTAAAAGGGGCCCCCAGAGGGCGAGAGGCATTAGGATCGGATGTGGGAACTCAGTAGTTCTCAGTGGTATGAGATGAAACAAAAGCAGAAAAAGGCAAAACAAAGTTTTCACCACACTCAATCAAGTCAGCGTAAGACTGGTGGACCCACAAGCTGCTGCCTGTGACGCCGGCATCCCCCACACACTGCTGCCTGTGACGCCGGCATTCCATACACGCTGCTGCCTGTGACGCCGGCATCCCATATGGGCATCAACTTAAGTCCCGGCTGCTCCGCTTCCCATTCAGCTCCCTGCTAATGGCCTGGGAAAGCAGCGGAGGATGGCCCAAGTCCTTGGGCCTCTGTATCCACATAGGAGATCTGGACAAAGCTGCTGGCTTCAGTTTGGCCCAGCCCTGGCTGTTGCAGTCATTTGGGAAGTGAACCGGTGGATAGAAGACTTCTCTATCTTTCCCTCTCTCTATGTAACTCTACCTTTCCAATAAATAAAATATATCTTTAGAAGGAAATAAAAAAAGAGACTGCTCCAGGGACTAGTGCTGTGGCATAGTAGGTAAAGTGGGTCAAATGCAGTGCCAGCATCCCATATGGGCGCCGGCTCCAGTCCCAGCTGCTCCACTTCCAATCCAGCTCTCTGCTCTGGCCTGGGAAAGCAGTGGAAGATGGCTCAAGTCCTTGGACCCCTGCACCAGCCTGGGAGACTCTAAAGAATCTCCTGGCTCCTGGCTCTGGATCAGCACAGTTCTGGCCATTGCGTCCATCTGCGAAGTGAACCAGTGGATGTAAGATCTCTCTCTGTCTCTCTCAGTCTTTCCTTCTCTGTGCAACTCTTTCAAATAAATAAATACTTAGAAAAAAAGAGAGACTGCTCCATAGTATAAAATTGTGTCTTTTCTTGCTTTGGTGCTAAAACGTTTTCATTTATAAAATACTGGACATAGTAGATGCTAATTGATTTTTCAAGAAAATGTCTTGGCTCGGCAAAATAAAAGGCTAGTAATTGTGTATCTTGTTCCCAAAATACTTGCGGGAAATCTTATTGATCTAGGACACCTGCGGGTTCCTGAGTGACACAGTGTAGCAGCAAGCGGGGAGCTTGGCCCAGCAGCTGAGCGCAGGACAGACAGCAACAGAGCAGGGTCTCGCCTGAGAAACAGCCCCCAACTCACTGAACAATAAAAATCAAAGTCACCTGGGCCGGCCCCAAGCAGCAGTCACGGTTGGAATTTGAGGATCAGCTGCGAGGGTCCCCTTTCTCCAATGCAGATTTCACTGACGTCAAAGAATTCCATGTCTCTTATGTAGCTGCTTGGCTGCTGCTCGAGTGACGTGGGGTGCGACATGGGGGCAGGGCAACGACATGCAGCGTGTCCTGAGAATGGACAGGGCAGAGCCCGGGCACAATCAGCCCCAAGGGCAGGCTCCCAGGGCCAAGTTCCGTCCATCTGTCAGGCCGCTAACTTGAACGACTGCCTCTCTCAGGGAACACGGGTGCTGGCTGTGGCCTGCTCGACCCCCCGAGGGTTCTTATAAGTCATCTGGTCAGCGTGGGAGCCTTTGTCTCACTGCGCTGCCCCTGGAGATGCCAGCGACTCATCTGGGCACACTCTCAACTCCATCTGGGAACGGAGTTATCTGCCTTTCTCAGCCAGCCCAGCAGCAACTAACAGAGCAGCTCTGGCTAACGGAAATTACCTCCATCCAAAGCGAGCCAGCTCTGGTCAGCATTTTGCGGGGGGAGCACTAGGCTGGGGTCCCTCCTTGCCACACAAGTCATTTCCATCACTGTCACCGGGCTGGAGCATAGCGCCTAATGGTCCCCACCCCAAGAGTATCTTCTGGAGATTCTACTGCCCCAACCCCACCTTCCATTCTAGGCGCCAGTGCCTCCCTTCCCTGGTGGCACACTGGGGTCTCTGTGCTGACCCTGGGAGAGCACCCTCTGCTAGGATCCCCTGACAGGGCAGAGCTTGGTCTGGGGTGCGGAAGCTTCCTGCTCCTCACACCTGTTCGAGCAGCTGCGCCTTGAGAGAGTCCTTGCTACACCTTATGCTACAGCCTGGATGCCCCGGCAAGTCCTCAAGCACCCAAGCATTCGGGTCACCTGCCTGATACAAAGGGTGTCTATAAATACACTTCTCTTCTGGAGCCACCGCCCAGTCCCCGAACACAGCTCGCAGCATCTGTTCACAGAGGCCAGTGTGTGCGGTGAAGCTGAAGACCCTGAGACGCCTGATTACAAACCGGCACTTTGCAGGGGCTGGGTGAAGGCCATACAGAACAGCATTCCAGGGTACTTAAAAGTAATTCCATTGATGAGACTATTGCTACAGGGGCTGGTGTTGTGGTGTAGTGGGTAAAGCCGCCACGATGCCAACATTCCGTATGTTCACTGGTTTGTGTTCTAGCCGCTCCACTTCCAATGCAGCTCCCTGCTAATGGCCTGGGAAAAGCAGTGGAACATGGCCCAAATGTTTGGGTCCCTGCACTCACATGGGAGACCCGGATGGAGCTCCTGGCTCCTGGCTTCTGCCTGGCCCAGCCCTGGCTATTGTGGCCATCTGGGGAGAGAACCAGTGGATGGAAAATCTCTCTCTCTCTTTCTATAGCTCTGACTTTCAAATAAATAAATAATTAAAAATATATTATTGTTATAATCAAGTCCACCCAAAGAAACTGTCTGAAGTTTGGGCTTCAAAACTGCCAAGCAGGAGTCAAATAAGGTGCAGCTGGGAATTCAGGAAAGACTACCTGAGGAGACAGAGAGGTCAGGTTTTCTCCCAAGGCCACCAGGGCAGCCTGTGGGCCCCAGGAGCCCCTGCCCAGAGTGGGCTCAGTGTGAGCACTGTCGCCACACAGGAGGCAGCGGCCGGGAAGAAGCCCTGGAAGCAGCGGCTGTAGCTTCCTGACACGTGCGATCCTCCGGAGATGGTCTTCTGCATCTTTTTTTTTAATTTTTAAAATATAGCAAACGTTTACTTTTTAATAAACCATCTAGACCTATTGCAATGATTACATACATAAAGGTAAAAAAGTACAAGCAAGAGGCTGGTGCTGTGGCTCACTTGGTTAATGCTCCGCCTGCGGCGCCAGCATCCCATATTGGCACCGGGTTCTAGTCCCGGCCGTTCCGCTTCCAGTCCAGCTCTCTGCTGTGGCCCGGGAGTGCAGTGGAGGATGGCCCAAGTGCCTGGGCCCTGCACCCACGTGGGAAACCAGGAAGAAGCTCTTGGCTCCTGGCTTCGGATCAGTGCAGCTCCGGCCGTAGCAGCTATTTGGGGGGTGAACCAATGGAAGGAAGACCTTTCTCTCTGTCCCTCTCTCTCACTGTCTAACTCTGCCCTGGTTCCTCTGTGGCCACCACGGGTCTGTGTCCTTTTAAGTGCAGATCCAGATGCCGCCACAAATCCTGCTTCAGCTTTTCCCCATGGAACCCCCCCATCTCCTGGCTTTCTGGACTGCGCAGTTACACTGCTGGTAGTGGGGGAGGTGATGGAGGTTGGAAAATTAAACACACTGGTCTTTCTCTCCCGCACCGGTCGTCCGCGCTGCAGGAACCAGTGCTGGCCACAGGGCGGGAGCCGAGGGGACGCGATGCAGATGGGATCCGCTGGCTCCCGTGGCCCCCCTGGCCTGCAGCCCCACCCCCAGCCCCGCCAGCCTTGTGGAAGGCAGTGGCTATGCCAGAACCCCCAGCAGAGCCGGCATCTTGTCTTGACAGCACAGCCGGGCAGCCTCGCCTTCCAGGACAGGAAGCTGCCCCAGGGCGGCCTTTGTGTCCTGCCCTCCCAGGTGTGTCAGTCGGGCTCCAGCGGCTGAGAACCAGGGCACATCCCCGTGCTGAGGCCCCAGATTTGGGTGTGCTTACAAACCATTCTCATCACCCTGACTACAAACACAAAGAACCAAACCGGAGAGATGAGAGTTAAAAATAACAACAGGAGACGCGCTTCCGTGAAGAGGGCGCTTTGAGGGCACTAGTGCTGGACTTGTCCAGCTGACGGCCCCAAGGAGGCAGCTGGTGCCTGCGCTCGCTTCCGGCCAGCAAAGCAGAGGGAGAACCTACTCCGAGTCAGGTGAGAGGCCCTGGGGCTGGTACTCCTGCCCCAAAGGCGCCACTTCTCCATCCGTGTCCCATCGCAGCATGGCAGAACTTGCTAACATCTGACAACACGTGGGAGCAGCAGACAAGGCTGCTAGGAGGCGGCCCCCAGGGGCCTGGAGCTGGCCCAGGCCGTCCTGAGGGTGGCTCACAACCTGGCCCAGGCCGTCCCGAGGGTGGCCCACAACCTCCAACCTGAGCGAGACAGTGTTCTTGCCTGCAAACACCCAGTGGCCAGGCTTCCCCATGTTTCTGAGATGGCCACGGCCCGTGGACTGGGGGACCCACGTACACCAGCACCACACACTTCGCCCCCACTCTTTCTGCAGGGCATCATGGTGGACTGACTTCTTGTGGTCTAGCAGAGTCATCTGACCTGATGGCATAACAGGTGACATGAACGTGTCCCCACTCAGAGACCAAGCTCTCGCTGAGGCTGGCCGAGACACACACATTTTTTAGGACTGCCACCAAAACCACGGACGCAGCAAACGGAGGGAAACGAAGCGACAATGGGCCGCCGGGAAAGCGCAGAGCAGAAGTGGTTTTTGTGAGGGCAAAGCAGGCGGAGGGAGGGGCACAAACGCAGGGATTCTCAGTGGGGCCATTTGGCTGATTTATGAAGGACTGCGCCAGCGTGCTTGGCCGCACAGCCTTGCGGGCTCCTCCAGCCGAGGCCGGGCCCCTACACTTGTTCTCCGGGGAACGGAGGAATCAACTCCAAGGATGCAAATCCACTATTTTCAAGCCTTAATTAACTGGAACCTAATTAGACTTGTGAGGGCCGCATCTCCCCACTCCCCCACCCCCGGCTCCCGTCTCCACCACTTTAAGGGCAAACTTTTCTCTCTTAGCATGGTGTAGATGGAGATAAAATGAACAAAGAACTACTTGGATTTCTTAAATGTAAGCAACTCATTTAATCTTTGTGGGCCACAGCTTTCTAATTTATAACTTGAGAGGGCCAGTGGGATGGAGATATGCAAAGCCACTTTTAGCAATCAAGTTCTAAGAGATGCCAACAGCGCACTGTCTACCCATGGAGTTCTAAGAGATGCCAACAGCGCACTGTCTACCCTGGCAGGTGAACGTTCCACTGTCCTGACGGCCACGCCCTCCCTGGTGTGCGCTGAGATCACCTAACGCTTTTCTAATTCAGCTGAACTTGACGTTCCCCTGACGGGGTAAGGTCTCACTCAATGTGTCTGAGCAGCAGTGGGTCAGCTGTTGTGGAAGTCAGACAAAGAGGGAACTCCTACAGGAGACACATACACAACTAAATGTCGGTGTTTAACCTAATTTACAAAAACATACATGTATCCATGGCTTTTTTTTTTCCAAAAAGTAAGGCTTTGTACAGCTAATATTTCCAGTCTTTTCTGATCAAGCACACTCAACCCGTCATTCCAGTCTGTTTCTTTAAGGGAGAATGAGAGCACAGACGTTCATGAAGTGATTGAGTACACAGTGCGATTCTCACAGTTGTCGCCCCCACAGAACAGAAGACTCCTCCTTTCAAAACAGCGAGCTTCGGTTCTCCCAAAACAGCACAGCCTTCTTTATCACGCTCACATTTGACAGGTTTACCCAGCAACGGGAGAAGCTGCAGAACTCCTGCACGAGCCCAAGCAGGGGGAAACACACATGCTCCCCCGTAGGAGGGGGAGGGATGGGCAGCAGAAGCCTGCGTGGTGAGCCGCAGGCACCGTGCTCTATAGAGCCCAGGGTGAGCCTGGCTGGGGTGGCCGTGGTGCGACCAGACACAGCATTCAAGAACGCAGCCGCTGAGGCTGGACCAGAAGAGCTGGGGAGGGAGGTCAGGGCTGGAGAGCTTGGCCACGTGAGCAGAGAGCGCAGCAGTCCACTCACAGAAGGGGGGGGCAAGGAAGGGGGGCAGACCCCAGGGCGAGTCAAGTCTGACTGGCAGGATGCCGTGGGAGATGCCCCAGCAGCTGGGCCCCTGCGGGCACAGGAGACACACGAGTCCAGGAAGCAAGAACTGCAGAGCAACCTTGCACTTGCTGGTCAGGCAGCCAGCAGCGAGTGAGGACTAGTGTTCACACCCCACCAAGCTCTCCTTGAAGGGAGGTACCCCGTGGTCTCCCATGCCGCAGTCCCCCTTCCTCGGCCTGCTGTCTGCCTCAGCACCGACCCTGACTTTGACTCAGGCAGGCCTGCCCGGGCTACCCGAGCCCATGCCAGGGAAGGCCTCAGCAAAGACGCTCCGGAGAGGAGCCCGAGGCCCGGGGTCTCATAAACAGCCCCGTGAGCCAAGCCCACCTCGTTCTCCAGACATACAGAGATTCTTCCGCAGCACACAAAAATGACCAGGGAAGAAGAGTTCGGCTTAGAAATACAAATGAGAAAGAAAAAAGCTGTCATGACACAAACCAGGCTTCGCCCTGGGACGTCCTGATGACAAGCAGTGGAGAAGGAGTTCCTGGAGCCGGACAGTCCCCCACGTGGAAGTGCAAGTGCGGGGAGCGGCAGCGGCCTGGTCCCCGCCCCCGGGCCGGTCAGCAGGGCTGTGCTACTTGGGAGCGCTCAGCGTATCCCGGGCCCTTACTCGCTTCAGCCACTGGCCGTCCAGGGCCCCAGCCCTCGCCGCTTCAGACATTCGTCTGGAAGTTGGAAACCACCAGCTCTTTGGAAGACAGCGACTAGCAGCGATGCTCTTTCCGGAGGCCTCAGGTCAGACCCTGCTCAGCTGTCTAAGAGACTGCTGCGTCTTCCGTTTGCGTCCCCGGGGAAAGGGACACGGGGCAGAAACTGCAGGGTCAAACCAGACAGGACTCACCGGGGGGTTCTGGCCACACAGCACCCCGCCTGCACACACACGCCATCCCTCGCCTTGGTGCCATGTGCCTGGGGCACCTGCAGGGTGGGTAGCAGTCTGGATCTGCCTGCCTCCCAGAGTCACAGAGCCCCGTGCTAGCAGCAGGAAGGAGGAGGCAGGAGGCGCCCCGGGCGGCCTTGCTGCCAGGCTCGCCCTCTGGGGCACAGGCACCGGTCTCCTCCGGGTCGTGCCGCACACAAAAGCCCAACTGACCTGATCCAAGCGGAGCGCGCCGTCCGCGAAGCGCTGCCGGCGCAGCTTCTGCGCGATCCCGTGTAGGTTCAGCACAGCCCGGTGCACCTCCTCGCTGCTGTGCTCCGGGGAGACGGGGGGCAGCGCCGTCTCGGGGATCTTCTCGGCCGGGTTTTCGATCATGCTCTGTGCGTGGTCATAGCTCAGTTTGGTGCAGGAGCGGATGATGGTCCGGCCAAACCACTCGTCGAGGATCTGCAGAGGGGGACAGCTTGTGAGGAACTTTCCAGGCTGGTCTTCACTCGACCACTCGTTCCCGCACGGGCACAGAGCTCCATGGAGCCTGACACAGCGGCGGATCAGACACAAAGCGGCCGCCTCCGGGAGCCTGGCCTTCACAGGGTCCCCACAGGCAGCGACGGCAGGAGACGCACAGAGAAGGGTTGTGGCGTTTTCATCAGTGTGGATGAGGGTCCACCAAAGTCAAAGTGGGGGGAGAAGAAGGGACGACCACCTGAGAGGTGACAGGTGGGGCTCCAGGGCCCGGTCAGGGCTCAGATGTGGGGAGTGGACAGAGAGAACGCAGGTGGAGAAGCCGGGTGAGGGTAACACGAGGAAAGCAATTCCGGCTTGCTCTACCTGGGGCACCTGTGTGGGGACAGACACCTCGACTGGCCTGCTTCACCTCAGCACGGGGGCCATCCCGTGCACTTATGAGATGTGAGCTGTACCCCTGGGCTCTCCCCACTGGATGCCAGCGGCACCTCTCCCCCAGCACGAGCAGACAACCCGCGCGTCCCCGGGGACACTCAGGCTTAGAGGTAGTGCTTGCTGAAGGCGGGGACCACTGGTGAGCTGCCATCTTGTTTTTTCAATTTTTCTGTACTTTCTATAGTTAGCATTTCTTTCTTTTCAAACAGAAATAAGTCAACGCTAAAACATTGTGGGACTCCTGAGTGGGAGGTGCAGGGAGAAACCCAGGTGAGGCTACTGAGCAGGCACTCGGGGACACAGGGCGCCATGACATGAGGGGTGGGGGGAGGGGGGAGGGGGAGGAAGAGGGTCAAGGCTGCACTCTCTCTCACTTCCTCCATTTCAGGGAGCAAAAGAGAAGCCAGAGAAGGAAAATGGAAGAAAGACAAGAGAGTTCAGACAGAGAGAAAACCAGGAGTTGAGTGTCAGAGGGGCTGGGGGAAGAGCTTGAGAGTCCACGCTGAGCAGCACTGCCCTGGGACAGGCCTGGCTACCCACCCAGCGCACGGCCTACGAGGTAGCGTCTATTACCCTCGTTCAGACGGGGAAACTAAGGCACAGGGAAATTAAATACTCTTTTAAAAGATGTGTTCTGTTTATTTGAAACGCAGAGAGAGAGAGAGAGAGAGAGATCTCCTACCTGCTGATTTGCTCCCTCCCTCAGCAGCTGCAACGGCTTCCAAGCAGAAGCCAGGAGCCAGCAGCTCCGTCCAGGCCTCCCACACGGTGGCAGGGCTAAGCACTTGGATCGTCTGCTGCTGTTTTTCCCAGGTGTGTTAGTAGGGAGCTGGATAGGAAATGGAGCAGCCAGGACTCAAACCTGAGCTCATACGGGATGCTGGAGGCACAGGCGGCAGCCTAACCCATGTGCCAAGAAATGAAGTGACTTGTCCAAGCTCACGCCCCCAGAGATTGGCAAAGCTGGGATCTGAGCTGTCACGTGTGCCAGTCTGGGCAGCTCTGGGCCAAGGACGGGGTGGCTGCAGTGCAGGGGTGGCACCAGTGGCGACGGCTCCTGGAAGCACGGCAGCGAGGGCAGGCAGCTGAGGGAGCAGGGGAGAGGACTGCGCTGTTTGCAGGGCGAGGAGGAGAAGGCGGCCTGGAGATGTGAGGGGCAGAGAGGCAGCTTGGGAGCGCTCATGGCACAGAGTCCCCGTCCAGGTAGACGAGCGTGAGGCCAGGGCAAGGGAGGCCGAGGGCCCATCGAGCGTGAGGCCAGGGAGAGGGCGGCCAAGGGCCCATCTAGGTAGGCGAGCGGGCAAGCGTGAGGCCAGGGCGAGTGTGGCTGGGTGGGGTCTGGGCCCGAGGCAAGTGCTTGGGAGATGATTGGCATCCTTCAGAGCAGAGCCTTGCAGCCTGGGCCTGCAGAATCCCCCTGCCTTGCTGTTCACCGGCCAGGCCATGCAGGTCACGGCCCTGAGAGAACGCTTCTGGAAGAGGCCGTGGGAGGGGTGGCAGGTGCTGTCCACTCAGCAAAGCCTCCAGGGAATGGGCTGCTAGCCTGGAAGGCCAGGGAGCGCCCTTGGGAACCCTCACCTTCCAAATCCATACTCTCAGAATACGGCAGAACAGTCGCAGCCCTCACTCTTGTGGGGAGGGAGGTGGTGGTACCGAGAGCTGTAACGAGTCTTGAATCTTTAAATGCAGACTAATTAAAAAAATCTTAAAACTACGCTTTCCAGAGATTTCCAAGAATGACACCCCTATCCAAAAATATAAGGACTTCCAGCAACGTGCTCCTGAGTCCGCTACCGGGCAAGCTGGCCCTGCATCTGGCTCTCTGGAGGCATCGTGTGCTCTGCAGGCACAGGCAGCTGAGGAGCCGACCCCAGGTACTGACCCGGTCCCAGGCGCGCGCCGGCACAGGTGCCCAGAAGAGCTCCTTCCAGGCTGGTCCCGCTGGCTCCGCCCCACTTCCTGAGCGGAGCTGTTCCAGCCTCCCCGGGAACGACAGGGCCGTGACCTCTTCATTCTTGTGGTCTCACATGTTCCCCCTGGAGATTTAGCTTGTTTCCTTTTCCCCATCTCATTCCAAACCCCGTCCCTCCTCCTCCCGTGCGCCCACGTCACGCGGGCCAGTCTGCCCTCGGCACGCTCGGGAAACGCCAGGTTCCACCCTGCTCGGCGCCTCTCTCTCTCTGGCATACGCTCCACAGGTGGTCTCGCGCCTCGCCTCCAGCACCCAGGTGGAGGGCAGGGGGCTTTCTGGGGTGTGGCCTTTCTCTCTAGAGGCTGCGCTGGCGCAGGGCGGCCACTGCAGCCGGAGCGGGCACCTGCCTTCCCGTACATCAGCGGTCCAACAACTGCTCTAAGAGCTCGTGAAAGCTCCGGGCCCTCCTGCTGAAATACTTAAGCACACATTTTCGCAGCCAGTCCCATGAGGTTCCCAGACATCCCCTGACCAGTCCCCAGGCCCGGGCCTCCTGGCTCTACATGCACTTTTGTTGTTCCCTTTGACCCCTCTGGTGGCTGGGCCCTGACGAGGGGCCACTTCAAAAGCACCGTGGAGGCCGGCGCCGCGGCTCACTAGGCTAATCCTCCGCCTAGCGGCGCCGGCACACCGGGTTCTAGTCCCGGTCGGGGCGCCGGATTCTGTCCCGGTTGCCCCTCTTCCAGGCCAGCCCTCTGCTGTGGCCAGGGAGTGCAGTGGAGGATGGCCCAGGTGCTCGGGCCCTGCACCCCATGGGAGACCAGGAAAAGCACCTGGCTCCTGACTCCTGCCATTGGATCAGCGCGGTGCGCCGGCCGCAGCGCGCCAACCGCGGCGGCCATTGGAGGGTGAACCAACGGCAAAGGAAGACCTTTCTCTCTGTCTCTCTCTCTCACTGTCCACTCTGCCTGTCCAAAAAAAAAAAAAAAAAAAGCACCGTGGAAAACGGAAGACCAGGTTAGTATACTTTGCGGCAAGAGAATTCTGAAATCCGTGTGTGTGTGCGCTCCTTGCCAGCCGCTCCTCACCCACATGTGCTCACAGCCCATGCTGGCTGTGGGCCATCAGACTGTTTGAGCCCCTTTAAAAGTTTTCCCTGGGGCCGGCGCCGTGGCTCACTTGGTTAATCTTCCACCTGTGGTGCCAGCATCCCATACGGGCGCTGGGTTCTAGTCCCGGCTGCTCCTCTTCCAGTCCAGCTCTCTGCTGTGGCCCAGGAGGGCAGTGGAGGATGGCCCAAGTGCTTGGGCCCTGCACCCGCGTGGGAGACCAGGAGGAGGCACCTAGGTCCTGGCTTTGGATCAGTGCAGTGCTGGCCATAGCAGCCATTTGGCAGCCATTTGGGGAGTGAACCAATGGAGGGAAGACCTTTCTCTCTGTCTCTCTCTCTCACTGTCTATAACTCTACCCAGCAAATAAATAAAAAATAAAATAAAAGTTTTCCCTAATGGGAACCTCTGCTCTTGTCAATCAAAATAGATACCCCCTCTTAACGGCGCCGCACGGGAGCCCACAGAGCGCTAACGAGCTTCCTAAAGCTTCGCTGATACAGCCTCCTCCCCAGTGCCTGCATCCCGGGGAATCTGCGCCAATCCAGCCCTCCTTACAAACACAGAAAGGGCTAGGGCAGAAGCTGGCAGAGCCACCAGCAGCTTCCTCTCCGTGACAGGGCCTCAGCAGCCAGCCTACGCAGCCTCAACACCATCGAGCACTTCTGCCGTCAGACCTGACTGATGCACTAAGAAAACTCTTAGGCCAGGAAAAGCCGGCCTGCAGCCACGGCTGCGTCAGGCCAGCAGAGACCCGAGCAGCCTTCCCCAGAGAAGGGCGGCCGGCAGCACCGATCCACATGGAGGGGGACCCAGGCGCGGCCGGCGTGCAGCATGGGAGGTGGGAGGAAGGCCTCTCTGGATGGAACACCTCATTAATTTCCAATTTGGAAACCGTGCTCACATCAACACCCAGTCCACAACCGGGGCCAGTGGCAGAAGACAAAAGGACAAAGAGTTTTTCATGGAAAAAGTAAAAAGCCACGAGGAGATTCATAAACAAAACACTTCAGAAAAGCTCATGCCCTTCCTCCTTCCTTCGCTAGATCACAGGACTTGGGCCTCTGCCTCCACACTCGCCGCACTCACTCGAACGGCTGAGTGATCCGGGCCACCAGCGGCCGACCCACTGCGGGAAACGCTGACCAGGAGGCTCCTATCAGCCACAAAGGCCTACTTTCTGGTCCCAGGCGAGACTGGCGACGCCACCACACCGTCAGCCTGTGTCCTCTCCCCCATTACCTTAATGTGTCTGGCAGGAGTGTGTCACTCAGCTCATCGGACCTTTGAGAAGACAGACGAGGCACTTGGCAACATCCACAACCAGCGGCAGCCGAGACCAGACCATGTGGAAGGACGCAAGACTCAAAGTCCAGGGTTCCTTTTACTGTATTTCAGCTGCAGGCCACAGCCAGACAGATGAAGGACTACAAGAAACCAAGTACCCCCCAAATACATGCCAACTGCCTCTATTTTATAGACACAGAGGTATGAGAAATCATATCCTTTGAAAACTGCCCAGA